AAACCGCTCATGTCTGGGTCTCAGCAACCTGGAGGTATCTCAGCCCTCGTAGGTCCCCCGGAGAGAAATGGCAGTAAGGCATGAAAAAGGCGTTACAGCCGAACAATGGGACCAGACATAAATTTCCATCTGTAAATTGCTTGTTCACACCGATATTTTCTACTGTTTCGGTTTTCCAATACCCCCGATCATCTTTCAGATACAGGTGTCGACACTCAGCTGATCTACTCCTCGGAAGAGATCCTCTGCGCTCTATTAATCCACTCCTTCAGCGTTATCCATCGCCTCTTACGTTACGCCCGTGGTCGGAAATTGTTTTGTTGCTCCGGCGACTCAGTGACAGGTATGATGTTCTTGTTATGCTGACTTCCTACCTCCAACTAGCTGAATAATTCTCTTCTGATACCCTCTGTCAATCAGTTGTTGCCATTTGTTTGAATGAGTACGTCTCCGTAGATCGAAAGCTTCAGGAGAACCAGACGGTTTCGTGCCAGTGTTCGTTTCACAGCTAGAGCTCCCGATAGGTGTATCTTGAGAAGTTTAACTTTACTCTCATTCACTGTCGGAGGCAGTTTCCGCGGCCTATCAAGCCCTCGTTGAAAACTGCGACTATCAATGTTTTGTCAAGCAAGTGCTTTTGCTCAGCATCACCCAAAACGTACGTCTTGCCCCGATAAGCCACTATTTAACTCTCATAGGTCGGCTATGCGCATTTCTTCTCCCACCCTTGTGTCAAACAAACACATGAAATGTCTGAACCACTAGTTTCCAAACTTTTCACCTTCTAAGTCCCACCTTGCCAGTTTCCCAAACCCGCGAATCTGCTCATTTGATTTCACGACCATGAAGGCTGAAATCTTTCAACCGAAAAAAATAAGTTGAAAAAGACCTGTGAAGAAAATGTCCTGATTTTAATTAGACTTTCTGTTGCCATTTTGTGGGTGTATCTTGAGAAGTTTAACTTTACTCTCATTCACTGTCGGAGGCAGTTTCCGCGGCCTATCAAGCCCTCGTTGAAAACTGCGACTATCAATGTTTTGTCAAGCAAGTGCTTTTGCTCAGCATCACCCAAAACGTACGTCTTGCCCCGCTAAGCCACTATTTAACTCTCATACGTCGGCTATGTGCATTTCTTATTCCACCCTTGTGTCAAACAAACACATGAAATGTCTGAACCATTAGTTTCCAAACTTTTCACCTTCTAAGTTCCACCTTGCCAGTTCTCCAAACCCGCGAGTTTTCTCATTTGATTTGACGATCATGAATTCCGAAATCTTCCAACCGAAAAAATAAGTTGATGAAGACCTGTGAAGAAAATGTCCTGAATTTAATTAGACTTTCTGTTGCCATTTTGTGTCGGTTTTTGTTTTGAGTTCTCTTTCGATTGTCTGCGTGGGTTGGTAGGAGGCGTACCTACGACCAGCTCTTTATCAGCCCTCGCTTGAAGGTCATGTCCGCTGTGAGGCCATCTTGTTCAAACGGGCTAGTTGCTGGTAGCAGATTTCCGCTAGTAATTCCTTCAGCCTTATTCCTTCAGATTGACATCAGCAATAAGGGCTTGATCCCACCAACGCGCCTGACGTCCTCTAGTGTTGTTTGACGACTCGTAATCTGTCACTGGTCCGATCGCCGCCTACCGATACACTCGGATTCTACCAGTTCAAAAATGCTCTAAGCAACCCGGAAAAGATCAACAACAATCTAAGAAAAGCATTATTTTTAAGCTACTATCAGTCGAAATTTTTTGTTGATCCCAATCATTTTTGTGTTAATCTGTTGACATTCTTCAACTTTGCTCAAGAGGACTATAGACCATCCTGGACAGTATATTACCGATAGCGACTGTGATGCTGTCCATTTGCCGAGGATGCTTGGGCTTTCGCCTAGCCTGACTCTGGCTTCACTGATTAACCTAACTTCAACTTAGAAATTTTCTGCAGGTTTTCAACAGATTTCACTCATGGAATCCATTGAAAATCCAGTACTGTTCCCAAGAAACCAGTGTCCACTCTCCAACCAGATAGTTTGCAAACGCGGAACCCTACATAGTATATGAGTAGAAGTCATTTCCACCCGTTGCTGGAAATGTATCGATTAGATCCTTATATTCCTGCATTACTTGAATTGGCTTGAATACTGATCACCAAGACCAACGGGGCTGTGTAGTTCGTCAATCCTTGCAACTAGTACGCTCTTGTTACATTACCCATCGGAAATGGAATTTCGAATTCTTCTGAAAATTTACTCTACGAATCAACATTTTCATCTTATTAACGAGCTATGAATGAATGATTCCCCAACAAAATGAGCATAACTAAATCATTGTTTTGTCCACATTTTAGACCGACATACTGTTGGGAACACGTCGGCAAAAGATGTAATATGTGCAATGCTTGAATATCTGAATATCAAAACACACTATTCGACTGAGCCACATTCAGGTAAGTCGGTTTGAAACCTGGAGTATTTTCTACGTCTTGATCGTGGTGATGACAGGTAGAGGGATCACCTTGATAAGGACGGCAACCGATTTCCAGTGGCGCATTTGGGGATCATATAACGTTCCTTCAAATGAAAATTCATGTTAGCAAAATACACTCACGTGGAACCCAGCTGAATCTCTCGTTTGTGATATTTCCAGGCAATTGAATGTGCCGCACCTGACCGTCTCATGTTTCAGTTGCTACGATATCCGAGATATCGCGATACATGTAATGCACTACTCATAGGGTTGCTGGAAATTCTTCGTGCAATTGTGTTTCAAGTGGGACATGAGGTTGACGGAAACTCGGGGACTGTGCCTACCTGATGCGCGCCAAGAAAAGTGAAACCGATCATTGGCTGTTGACGAATTTTTAAGCAACCTTATGAGTAGTGCATTACGAAAATTCATGTTCTTATGACCTCAGATGAGGCCATCTGTAGGATTGCAAAGACGCTTGAATCTACGAACAAGTTTACTTATCCACCAAACCTGACTAAAGCTTTCTTAGAGCTCTGGCTTCAAAAAGCGGTCTGTATTACGTGGAACAAGTATTGCAGTGCGTTTTTAATCCGTGCTTGTTTCAGAATAGTTCAGTATATATACAAGTCTTTTAAGGTTGATCATTAATGATAAGAACGCCTCGATATTTATGACTGGGGCTCAAACATGGAATGTACCAGGCTACACTAAGACCTGTGTTGTAATATGGTTGCGAGACATGGCTTCAGTTGACAGGTGATCTAAAGCCTCTTGAGATTTTTGACCGCCGGCCGCCTCAGAAGTGCCTTCGGTGTTGGATGACATCAACGGAATTGACCGGATGTAAGTAAGAAACGGGTATTTTGTTGCGCGGCCGGCACTGCAGTCGCAGGAGATAACCTGCACTATCAGCTGTTTTGGCCTGGCCGATGATGACGTTGATGGTGTTCATGCTGTTTATCCCTCTTTCACAATGTTATTTCCCTAACTACCATGAATCACATTTAGTTGGAATTCGCCAAAAAACTTCCCACCATCGAGAAGATTCTTTTGTCAACCCCCCAACTCTTGAAAAGAGCCTCCAAAGGTGCTTTCCGATGCTTATTCCCGTACACTTACTTGATGAGACTGAATAGAGCTTCATATGAACAAGTGTCTCATTACCGGCCCACACGCACGAAACGTTCAGCTGTAGCACCATTGAGTTGCCTAGCTGCCACGCCACCCGAAGGTTGCACGAAGGCTGGTTGCCCAAGCGGGAAGTCGAGAGGCAGAGGCAGAGGTCGAGTTCGAACCACGGACCTTCTGGTCAGTAAATTCGCTCTCCAACGACTTGACCCATCTCGCTCACTCACTCAGACTTGCTAGGTATTCCAGGTAATAGTATGCCTTCACGTCCTAGAGTTGTAGACGGACATGTTGATAAGTGAAGCGTGTATAGGCAGACTCACGTCTTACGCGGGCACCGAAATGGCTGTACGAACATTCACGTGTGCACCCTTGGTAATTTTATAAGGAACGAAAGGCTGAAATACTCTCAGTGGAACTTTGATTATCTGCTCCTTTCAGTGTGCGGTAATCTTTATGTTGCGAGTCTTGTCATCTACTTAGGATAACATCATCTGCTTTCGCTCAAATCCATCGGGAAGGCGGTCAACAATGGTCACTTTTAACCTCCTATCATCTAAAACAAACTTATGCTATGCAGGCGATCAACAGAATTTTCAAGGCGTGCCTTTCCCTACNGTATCAGTTCCCATGTTTGTTTCCTGAAATGTCCACGTGTTAGAAGTTCTAACCACCTGCTACTTTTCTAGGTCCTTTTATCTGTGGACAGAATAATCAAAGCCTGTTTCTATCTCCTCGGATTCGAACGTTTAAACAAGGAAACTCGAAATCACGTATGCAATCCAAATGAAAGTGTATGGCGGTGCATACAAGCAAAACATAGATGAGGTGAAGTCTTGGAGTATGATGCGACCGATTGATCGGAGGAGCAACTGGTCACGTAAGCGTAATGTGGATGTTCCGATAGTCTTACAAAAGAGTGCACAAAACTCGTGAGCGAATCGTAATCACCTCATCTATAGCCACGCATTCACACTGAACGGATCTCCGCAGAAAATTGTGGGATTAGTACAGCGTTACAAATGCACTGCTAGAAATAACCCGTCGAACTACCAAGTAGTGCGCTTTTTTGAAGACTATAATGGTTGCACTGTTCTACATACTTGAGCTTTGCTCACAACGAAACAGTGTTAGCTTTGTATGGACATAACATACTACCCATAAATTTGCTGGATATTTTTCGACAGCCCACGGCCAGCTTCGCCTCGCTTGGGGCTCATCAGATAGGCGCAGTTCCCGGGTTTCCGTCAACCTTGTGTTCTACTTGAGCCCAAATTGCATGAAATTAGCGAAAAATCACTCATTTGTTAACAATTCTGGTTTTGCGGGAGACTCACCTAGAATCCAGCTGAATCTCTCGTTTATGATGTTAACTTTGCATTGATGCCTTCGTTTTAAAACCATACAGCAACTCATCCGACAGAAATAATCGTCCACTGTCTGGAAGACTTGGCTCAACTTCCTGAGTGCTGTAGTGACTTGTTTGGAGACCGGCATTTGTCCAGTGGAGACAAGAAGGATCCGTCCACTTTGAAAAAGAACCCGCTTGACCTGTTGTTTGCCGGTTTAAGGGCGTTATCAGTGTACCATGTAAGTGCCCATTGAGGAAAAGTTTATTTTATCATGACGTCTGCTATCCCATCGGGTATTTTTGGTTCAAAAGTCCATCCAAAGCAGGTCACTTGGTAAGATCCAGGAAGAAAGTCGTACGTCAATTGGAATCATCCAGTGAATGCATTTTCATCTGTTGGTGTCACACATGGTATTCAATCGTTCTTCCTGAGGAGCAGATTTTATCCTCGGGGTGGTTTTGTGACTTTCAATTTAGGCCGGAGTAGCTGGATACAGTAATTTCGGTAATATTACTTGGCGATTTGCGTCATTTGAGAGTAAAGCTGCATCAAATATGAAGCATTTCCCTCAGTTTGAGGCCTTCAAAAGTGTTCTGCGTGACTTTACTTTATCTTAACAATCAGCCAATTCCGGAAGGTAGTTTCTCTTGAGTTGGCCTCCCCAGTAGTAAAGACTGTACTCTCCAAGGTCACTGCTCCCTTTTCTGAGCTAAATCATGTGACTCTGTACGATCCTTGCATTCTGTCCAACTGAAATTATCCACAGGAAAGGATAAGACAACATCTGCTCAGATGGCTCGTCCTGGTATGTTTGAAATTCGCAACTTAACCCATTAATTAAAACAGTATCTTCCGGTTCCTAGAATTTACGCAGCTGATTACCACTTAAAAGAGGCCCCACTTTGGTTTCGTTTATCATTCGCAGTGGAATGTGTTTTATTTATCAATCCGTTATTCCATATTCAATGTCTGGCAGTATGCCTAGGTGCACTCATTCTACACGTGATCTCTAATCTATGTTTTACACCGGGGCCTATCCTGCAGCTTTACTACGTCGGCACATAGGTTTTCCTCCAAACACCTTCCAAGCAAGAAGGTTGCCAAGCTGGACAAATAGGTCAACAACCAAGCAAATACTATCCTTGGGTGCTGCACGAAAGAGACACTGCCCTGTTGTTCGGGGGCCAGGCGTCCCTAATAACCGAACATCACATCATTTGGACGCATGTGTCACGTGCAGGACACGTTCCTTTGTCTCCATAAAGGGCTGTGTAGAGCTACCGTGCCTTTTGCTATACCATAGTGGGCGTAGCAGGAAGCCAAGGGACCGACACAGAGTTGCACTACCGTACATCAAGACACAACAACTGTACTCGCATTGCCGTATCAAAGACATGGCTTGACTTGTGAGAATCCATCTATCAGGAAGGTCAGCTTCCTGAAAGCAACCATTGAATGCCCGAAATCTACCGATACTCTCAGCTCCGCTAGATGTTGACCGGACAGACAACGCCCCCTCAATATGCAACGCCTCACAGCCTTGTATCGAACCCAGACAGCGCGAGTCAGCATTGATCAAGGTCAGACAGCGCCGCCGCAATATGCAGCGCGTTACAACCTCGTACCAAAGCCAGACCGTGTGCGTCAGCATTGAACCAAGTTCAGACGGTGTCCCTCCAATAAATAGCTTGAGACCGTTGTACTTGGGCACTCGCACGCACTCATACTCTCACGCTATCACGCTCGCTTGTTCGGAATATAGCTGTTGTATTCCCTTCTGTGAGTCTTTTTTCCGGCACTAGGCACTGGAGCGGGTCAGTAGCCAGATACCACAGATTGGCGAACCAGCAGATATAACACCATCTCAAGCGGAGGAAGACCTGATGAGGTTGCGCAACTGCAAGAAAAGTTTACAATTCCTCGGGCCTGAAAATCGGCATCTTAGTTTTAATCTGCAATCAGTTTTACACCATGGTTTACATACTAACCCTCATATTCAACCGAAATCACGCTACCAAGCGTGTTTTCTTCAAATTCCGGAGTTTCGCCAAGAACATTCGTCGGTCCAGATTTAGCAGCTTGTGATCTTACGACAGACGGAAGTTCCTGCTTGAGGTTGATTTCGTTTGCAAATCTCTTCTGCGGGTCTTCAACAAAAGGTGGAAATCAATGCCTTCATTGCTGCATTTTTTTTGCAAAACAGCATCAAAGCTATCGCTTTCGACGCGTACATACCCGATTTCCGAACAAACTGAACATGCCTTCGCCTCCAAGACTTGGTTGTATCTTCAACTTTCCCGTTTTCCGGTGATCGAAACTGTAGCAGCTGGCACCGATGTGTCAATGGCACAGCGTTTATAGCTGATGAATTGGAATTTAATTAAAGGTTGATTGATTATTGTCATGATTTTGAAATTTTCAACGCTTGGGGATAATAATAATCTGATTTGCATGTTTTTTCAGCAGGGAGCTAACACCAAAATCGGGCCAGATGAACTGGAGTATCACAAATTGCAGAGTCAGCTTCGGATAATCCAAAGACTGGTTTCTCACCAAGCTGTACGCTGTCTTCTGCAGAGGTCCCATTGTAGTCAGTCTGACCATGAAGGGTACGTTGGCGAGATTTAGCTAAAGAAATCACTGCCTAATTTGGGCTAGGCGTACAGACTTGTCGAAATTAGTCATGCAATTGCGTTGTTCTGTCCAGTTTTCCTGTCTCACACGTAGTCATATTAGCCGGTCCACGAAAATGGTTTGAACAGTTCTCTTGTGTATCAGAACGGTTGCCAGGACAGCTTAAAGAGGGTTTATCAAACTGTAGTAACGGTATTTTCCTCAGCTTAGTTCTCGGTCTGAGCCTCCCAAGCTAGCGTTCACGTCAAAACAACCACCAAAGGTGCACAAGGTCTATTAATGCCCAAGATGAAGTCAAGAACAGTTGTACAGCGCTTCGTATATATAACGTAAGCGGTTATAATTTTTCTGGAAGCTCTGGCGCGTTCTGGATGCGGCATTGGCAACCGGCATTTGGCCAATACCGGATCACGATTGGCTGTTGGGTCCAGATTTCTGACCAATCAGATCTCGCCTTGATGCCGGACCGGCAAGTGTCCCAAATTCTTGGCCAATCTCGTGCGGGTCAGGCTTACCGGACGTAGCAGCGCCTAAAGACGTGCGGTAAAGCGGGATCCGTGTGGAATTCTGCCTAACAAAAACGTCATTCATCTGGTTCCTGATTGGAATGCTTCACCAATAGCAAGTGACACCGTGCTAATACCTTGACACGCGGGCTACATTTTTTTGTGGACGATCTATAACGTGATCGTAGAACGAATCTGATTTGAACAGTGCGATCTAGAGTGTTCTGATGGGATGACCAATTTTTTTTGGTGGAATTGGCAATGAACGAAATCCTAGATCGCCAAACAGGTACCGTTACTTTACATAGTCTCCAAATTGCCCAGCTTCTTTTTTGTCCTGCACGCAAAATTAGTAGCTTTGTTCGTTTTTTTCCTAGGACGAGATGGCACAAGTGGTTAGAGCGCGAATTTACTGAACGGAAGGTCAGTGGTTTGAACTCGACCTCTGCCTCTCAGCTTCCTCTGCCTAGACTTGGGTAACCAAAGAGTACACCAGCCCTCGTGCAACCTTCGAGTGGCATGGCAGTTAGGCATGGAGAGGGTGCTACATCTGAACGATTTTTGTTTGTTCGTTTTGCTCGTTCCCCCGAAACAACGTTTACCGTCGAATGCCGAGGTTTATCAACACCAGACTTCGGGTTTTCACCTGTCCTAAATATAGCAAACTCGTCAGTACAGGAAATTCCACTTCACGTCACACAGATCTGTGGGTGATTTTAGCCACATCAGTTCTTTCTGATCGACAGGTCGAGGAATGAGCTAAGAGTCTTGTTGAAACAAATGTCGAGACTGTATGAATTGCAGCTACTATGGTGCATAAACAAAACTCGCTGTGTACACATATGAGTCATTGTCATTCATACCTCGCTTCATGCCTCTATGGATGTACGGGAAATCGATAATGATAAACGACGATTGTTTAGATCTGACGACTTGTCTGGTGTTCATGTATTCTCCTCGAATGGCGAATTTGTTAATGCGCTCTACTTGAACCCGAAAAATACTTGTATGAACGAGAAAAAGGGGAGCACTAACAATATCAGCCTGCTGAGTAAAATTATTACAACAGGTATATATGCGAACAAGGGACTTATCGTTTTGCAGGTACAGGTTGATAAATCCTGTTGTAAATCCGGATACATGTTTCGTGTCTCCTTCGCTGTTGTAACAGCCACACGTATTCTTGAACATCCGTGATTGAAGCGCCGTAAGTCCTGAGCGGCTGTGCTCCGAGTTGAGAGACGTGCGGAGCTCTGTGGAGTTGTGTTGTGTTGCTGTGCTGTTATCCTATATGTAGGAACGTTTGCGTGTGTGTGTGGGTGTCAGCACATGACTTGTTGCTACCTTATCAGTCGGTAGACAGTCGATATCAGATGAGTCACCCTTGTGTGTCTTGATTTGTACGAGAAAGCGAGTCTTGGGATCAAGGGCTTGACTGTGAGCTGTGTAGTCAAGTGAGTCACGATTCTGTGGCGTGATTTGTGAGTGTAAGATTGCTACATCTCGTGATCTAGCGAGTGTCGGTAACCTGTACAGTCATGTATGTGCCGAAAGGGTGGTTACAAATTTGCCCTGTATAAGCAGCATCATTTTGGGGGTTTGGCCCCAAGGGCGGAGTAAATACGCTCGTGGTGTTTATATATTCTCCTCGAATGGCAAATTTACCCTGTGTGTAGACACTCGTGGACTATCGTTTCGACGTTACGGGTTCGAATTCCACATGGGAAACTCCATCATGGTTTACCGTTCCTTTCCTTCTGGTCTGCATACACAGTGTTTCGGGAACGAACGTACCAAAGAAAACCGTGTTTTTTCCATTTCAGAGGACCCTTGGCGTTGCTCAGTCGTGCCATCACTTGGTTGGTGGAAGGGCTCACCAATCAGGTGGACCCAATTCACAATTCTAGAGAAACTGGAACTGAGTTGCCAGTTCGGGTAATTTTTATGATGGTGCGGATTTTGCGAGACCTTACTACATTGTCCTCTTCCGAGAAACTTGATGAATTTGATGACTACTGTGGTTTGGTTATTCGGACACACAAGCTACTGGTGAGTTATGGCGCCTCATCTCCCTGTTAGGATTGTTTGAGATGTATGTTGGCGCGTTTCTAGCAATCACTAGCAAACTTAAGAATGAGTTTAGAGGCGGTATTTTATAAATATTCCTCATTTGTGAGAGTAAGTCGAGACCTCACACGAACGCGCACGATTTGTTCACCGTCTCCTACCTGTTTGTTTCAGAATTCAGTGGCGATCCCAACGGATCAGTAAGTGTGACTTGTTTATCAACGGTTTCGAAATTTGTATCGAGTTAAACGCTCAAAACATTTCTACTTGATGGTCAGAATTCAGCCAATGATAACCACTGAGAGGGTCCCAATATTCCTTTCTTTCATAACAAAGTTGGTCACTGTTTTGGTCTCTTTCAAACTGAGTAAACGAATAGTTAATGGGTAGAACTTCTTCAAACTTAACAGAGCCATCCTTAGGAATGTGTACTGTGTGCCTAAATTTCTGGCAACACCCAAACAGCCAACGTAATTTTACAACTGTCCGCCGGTGACCTCTTGACTAAATAGTTCCAAGAAGGGGAAATTAGTACCCAAAATTCCTAAACACTGTCTTGTTATTTATGCCTGGCATCTTTCCTAGGTAAGGATTTAGACCTGTCTTTGTTTACACGTCGTACCGAACGATAGGTGCACTTCAAGTAACTATTGCCGATTTCACTCTCCCCTTCAAGGTCACCTGGGGGTAACCAATCAATATTGAAAAGACTTTGCTTACAACTGTCCGGGTACCCTGCAGGTGTTGCTCATTTACAACGAGCCGGACTTTTGGAAGAATGTGGCCAAACTTTGACCGATATATTGACGGATTTGAATTCTGTAAGTACTTTATTTACAGACTTTTGAATGCAACGTCTGTATCCTTTCAATAGCGATGATTTATCCCCTACAAGATAACGCGATCTTTACCCTACATACATGACAACTTGTCAAGCAAGTGCTTATTTTCAACCGATGAAAAGCTAGGCTAGAATAGACAGATAAGTTGTTTTCGACAAGACTTTAAACCCCATTTCCGGGTGTACTTTTTTATCCGAAGTAGCAAGTTTGCCGTAGTATTCCTAGTCATGCTAGAGTTCGTGGATCTCTGTGTGGACCTCTGTCGTAGTTCGCAGTTGTTCTTCAGCACAGTGGGAATTGTATGGGATACATATAAGCCCGTCGCTTTAGAAACAGATCTTGTTGATGTTCTGCCAGTGTGGGACTCTTTTGTGCACTAGGTTTTCAAACCAGTTCGACTGATGAGAATAACGAAAAACTTATCAATGGAGACAGGTTTTAGCGAATATACACTCATTTGCAAACTAATTTGGTTCCTTCGATAGACTCACCTGGGACCCAGCTGAATCTCTCGTTTATGATGTTCTTAGGCTAACTTCGTGCAATTTGGTTTCAAGTAGAACATAAGGTTGACGAAAACCCGGGGACTGCGCCCACCTGATGAGCCCCAAGATGGGCGAAACTGGTCGTGGGCTGTCGGTGGATTTTCAGCAGCCTTATGAGTAGTACATTACAGAGACAGGTTTTACTTTGTTTAGAAAGTCAGTCCTCCCGCTACTAAAGTAAGTGTGCTCAAGGTCAACATATGATAAATTGAGGAAATTCAACTATTTCGACCCCATAGAGCTTGACTAAAACAGCTGACTCCGTACTTGCGGGGCTTCAAAAACGGTTTCCTGAAATCCTTTTTGAATACTGATTTTGCATCGCATCTGTTCAAGAAGTGAATCCGGACAACAGGTGCCACTAGGTATTCTGGACGAGAACGATGGTTCTGACGAAATGTACTCATCAGTATCATCATCATCATCTGTAAGAACCGCGTACAATGCTACTAGTTGTCACAGTTTCGCTCACCGATGATATGAAGAGATGGGGTAGGTAGCTACGAATTTGAGACGGTATCTGGTATAATTGGTATGTCAATACAGGATTGTTGGTGAACTTCCAATTGGGAGACTGGAAGGGAAGCTAAACATTGAAGTCAATAGCTTGAATGCACGAGCACCATTGACAACGGACCTGGGCCATGTCTGACAATGTCTTTAACCGATGCTGTTTCCCGTCTCGGGGTCCCCATCCAGGAAGACGGCAATGACCAGCGCAGCAGAATTTACTGTCGATAACCTTTTATACCTTATTGTTTGTCCTCGCCTCGGTTCCTACTTTTCACTTGGTTGCGCAAGGAAGTCGGTCGACTCGCATTCGGATGACGTGACCCAGGCAGCGTAACCTATGGACTGTGATCAGTTCATTTATTGCAAGCGACTTTTCTCTTCCGAAAGCCACTCGACTTACTTCAACATTACTGATTCGGTGTTCCCACCAGACTCGAACACTGCTCCAAAGACGCTGATCGCCAAACACTCAAAGTTTTTTGACGTCCTCAGAACGCAGTGGAGAGATTTCTGACCTATCTAGTAATATATGGGTATGTATATGTCAATATTGGGCGCACCACATCACAGTAACCTCGACCCTTGACGGATAAGCTGATGTCGGTATCTTATCCTCGAAGATCTGACGGATGGGGCTGAATTTGGAAAATGAAAGCATAGGGGATAAAAGTAACTATGCAGGGTTCAGAACACTTTAGCACCATTGATCTGTAACCAGTAAATGGCTTGCTCAATTAACATTTTGAAGAGATAATCATTCATGTTACCTACGATGCAACCAAGGTATCAGCTTTACTCTTGGAGAGTAATGAGAGTTCGTCAGAGTGCACATCCTCTACTTGCAGCGCACGCCTCCTAACTAATGTCCACCAACTGTGTGCATAGTTGAATCCCACTGGAACTCAGCCTCAGTAGAGTCCTTTTTTTCTCCAGCTACCGGAACCGCGCCTAATGGGCCGAATACTAACCAACCTGACATCTACACAAGATGGGATGCAAGCTTTAATGATGGTGGGTATAATCAAGTCGCTGATTAGTGATGTGTGGAGAGCGGTGGAAACCGGTGAAGCCTCACACTCATCTGCGACGCACTTAAAATGGGATATTCCTTCCTGTGGATCACGTGTTCCCACATGGTCTACTGACCCTATCGATCGAATAGCCTACAAGGTTAGTACGTCTTTTCCACTAACCAGTGTGCTGATTAGTGATTCTGTTTATTGATTGGATAACTATTAACTAGCAAACAAAATCCAGGTAATGAATGTATTAGTGCACTACTGTTGATGGCCATGATACAAATCAGAAGACGTATGCACCAATAAAAGTTTGTAGTATGGTTGAGAGTAGTGGGTTGCAACACGTATAAAATAAATACGATGCGAAATGGGAGCAAGTCAAAAGAAGAACTTATCGTGTGTGAGTCCCTTGGTGAAAGTCCAGACGGCGGGAACGTGTTTTCTCCGCAGTTTGGCTGCTACACGTATTCCATAATTGTCCGTGGACTTGGAGTGTTTGGCTGACTCCTTGCTCCCTGCGCGCGCGCGAGTCTGTGTGGTAACTGCGTTTGGTTTCCCTACCTGTAGGTCCGTCTGCGTGTACGTAGGCGCGTCAGCACATGAGTAGTTGCTACGCTCACTAGGCCGTGCAGACGATCGATGTCCGATGAGTCACCATAATGTGACGTGATTTGTGAGTATAAAAAAAGACAAGCCTTGTGATCCAGTGAGAGAATGTGAGCTGAACAGTCAAGTATGTGGGTGATCGGATAGCCCATTCAGCCTGAGTTTTTCCAAACCTTTTAGCCGTTTGTGCGCCTAGTTCGGGCAACCTGCTCCTATGCCGGAGTAGACGCTTTGCTGAATGATGCGTCGGAAAACCAGTCTACAACATACGGTCGAAGATTTACTCCCACTTCGTTGAAGGTAAGTCATACCTGACTAGCTTCCCTGCGCATTTAATTTTTATCACTGTTGATCATAATATATTGACTAGACTGTGAAAGTAAGCATGCAGACTCTTAGGGTCTGGAATTTTGATCAGATTGGCTGTCTGAGGCGCCTCCGTCGTGCTCTTGGGAAGGTACCTACGCATGCACTGTTGACGGCGCATTGGGCTCGCGTCCGCTTTTCATCCATTTCGCTCGCCTTTTTAATCACCAGTTTTGGAATTGTGACCAGGCCTACTGGAAAAATCTTGTTTAATACACTTTCTATTGTTAGTTCGGTTTCACCTACCGTGTAAAGGACTTTCGGCTATACATGTCGTCCCATACACTATTCTAAAAAACCGAGTGGTCTCAACTATTCCGCTCCTTCTATCCAGCTGGAAGGAACTCAGTATAAGCAACAGCAAGTACAGTTGATGGATAAGTTTTCAAAGTACCGCATACCCAAGACGGATCATACAAGTACCAATATTCCAAAGTTTTATAGGATAACTCACTTGCGATAGTCCTGTGTTTGTGAATTTGAGTTTACATGTCAGGCAGATCAGCTTCGCAACATGTCAGCTCTAGATACAACCGAAGAAATGTGTCACAGATGAGCTCCAAAAAGTGCAAACCTCCATTTCGATGTGGCATGGCCAGGATATCCGTTCTATGAACTAGTGGACTATACAGATGTTTATGAGAGGTACACCCATGTTACTCCTGCAACGGTAGGTGGGACAGTCTCTGCAACACTTTGTGGTCATTTCTACTTGACGTACTGAACAACGTTGGAAGCGTTGTGTTTCTGGTGTCAGTGTGTGTTCCCCAATCACGTTACCCAGCAGTAGCTGCTTCCATTTATGTCCATCATCCACTCACCTTGTTTCCATAATTAGAAGTCAACTGTGATCTCAGTTGTAGGCACATTCAGTCTTTGGATGGTAGATTACTGGACAAAATCTCCCACATCTGACCAAACGGTTGGTTTGACTAAATACTGCATTTGTGGGAAATCCGTCCAACTTAATTTCTGAGACGATGATCCGTACAGAGCCAGCTAGTCAGTTCGAATTCCCATCTGATCGACTGATTCCAGATCTTCCGAATGTCGTACCCACCGAGTCATCCAGACACTGCATCCTGGTGCTTAATCTGTGAAACATGTTGTGAGCTCACACAGTTCCAAGCAGCAAGGAGATCGAAATTCGAAACCATTTCCCCGACTGGACAGTGACGATTAACCAGCTTATCTTCTGGCTGTTGTGATGAGCACCTGGTGTAATGGCGGTACTACTGATGGGGCATGGGAGTAGCATGTTTTCTCGTAAATCCGCTTTGCGTCTTTTGAAAAGTTAGATCTATTACGGGATTTCTGCAGTCGCTCTGTAACATTTGCTTGCAATAGAGTGACGATCAATGAATATACAGGAAAGTTCAGGAAGACGCGTTCAAAGAGAAGATAGATATTCAGTTTTATAAACAAGATGCGTATGAGAGTTTTACTCTCCTGTCCGTAACTGTTCAGTTGACATTTTCTAATGAATAACTCCGCAGCGAAGGCCTTCTTCCTTTCACTGGTGTTCGGTAACTTCCAGCCCTTGAAGAGTCGGCATGAAACCTTCATTTGTTCCCATTTTCCAAAGGAAGCCGGTGACCAAGGACTCCTGCCACCACACTTGCCTTATAGTCTAATTCTTTGCTTTACACAGATATCATTTTCCTAAAACATGGCCTATCCTGGTAGACACTTTCATCCCAAAACTCTTCTTTCGTTGCAGGAGTTTTTCCAGCGCACACTCTTCATTCCTAATGACAAGAATCAGTCACAGAGTCTGTACAATTTTGAAGAAACCATAGTGTTGGCACTAAGGTAAGAAAGTCTTACAAGCTTTGAAAGTTTCACCTAAAATTCTGTTCCATGACTAAAGTCAGCCTATGCCGGAAAGCCGATCAGGGAGATTCTAGCTGGCAACCCTCCAACATGCAGATGGCTGCCCTAACCTCCGACTGCCAGCGGCTTGTCGCTACTGTGTGAGCAGTACTCATTCAGAAGGGTGTAGCATCACCCAACCTCCAGTCACATCATTTGCTCCTTGCGGTCACGTGTTCACTGACTACTCGAGTTCGGATAAATACTTGCTTTGCTGATTCTTTCGGGAGCGACTATTACTCACCTTTGAGATAGCCCCAGTTGACTTGCATGATACCTCGCGGAGAGATTCCAGCAGTCAGCCAGCGAAACTATGTTAATACTAAGTGACTAGTGTCAAGCTTTTCCTGTGAAGCCCTTGTCATCCTATTCAATTCCTTGGCCGGCCAAGCGTTAACTCTGATTCTCTCATTTAGAGCAAAATCAGTGGGTAAAATGTCATAGTGTGCCACTTTCGGCTTCATTGTTATCAAAGTTCATCACTTTTGACATATTCTGAGACTAACTTGTGGTTGGATCCCTTTTACAGAACACTGGGCCTAGATGCTACCCTAAGCCACACTCAAGTGAAGACACGTAAGCATGCAAATGCATACAGTTGTTGACTCCAAGTCCAGTGGATACGAAAAAGCACTTCTAATCAAATCGAATACGGTTTCACATCACTTTACAATATTCTGTCAAGTATTGTATAGAAAATACGCTGTCTTTTACTACCTACTGGCCTTCTGAGTTTGTCTGGTCACATAACTTCTACCTGCGGTAACTGCAGCAGGTAACTAAGTCACTCCAAAACTCTAGGAGGAAGTCCCATCGGAGTGACTTGTGAGCTTTGTGTACCAGCTCATTTTCTGGCAAGAAGTTTGCTTTCCTGGGAGCCTCTTTTGAAACGATTGACAGTTCAGGCCCGACAGGTGACGAAGTTGGTTACCAGTGTTCAGATTACTGCTGATGAGACCCGGTTTTCGCGTGACCCTCCGTGTAGTCTGCAGGAGACATTGCTAACAAAGACAACTTACGTCAGAAGCCATGGTGACAGTCTGAAGGTCCTTTGATGAACTGAAGTCCTTTTACAATCCCAATTACAAGTTTTTCTATACGATTTTACCCTGTTCGCAAATTTCTTAAGGGCTTTTCAGCCTCAGTTTACGATGCGAATGATGGTACAATAATCAATAACATTTCTTTCTCTCCCGCCAACTCTATTAACAAGTAAATCAACTATTTTCCTCCCATACAGACTTTTGTCCTGCATGGTTTCAGACTTGAATGTAATGCTTGCCCTCGAATGTCGGTTCAGACTTATTGATCGATTGTTGAAGGAACAAAGGGATGCTGTGACTTCGAACGAATCCGTCCACCTCGACGCGGTGACAATCGAACGGAATTACCTTCTGGTAAAATGTAATGTCATTGGGGGGCCCGATGAACGGAGAATACCTCCCAGATCCTTGTGCGAGGTACGTGGCTTTTGGTTCATTCATTCTCTTTCTACTATCTTAACAATCTTAACAATTTGCAGACATCAACAAATCTTAGTGATTTTTTGGACCAGCTGGAAAGCGTAGGAGCACAACTCCAGAAAGTCTTTAGTTTGCCCGTTTCGTCTGACAGTTGTGAGGAAGAATCTGCTTCATAGGTCATGATCATGTGCCGTGTACCATAGGCGCAGTTTCGCTCACGAGATGACGGGACAGTGTGTGAAATACAGCAAGGCCTTGGAGGCGACGGCATATTCAGCTAGTTCGGGAATCGGGCTCATTGAAGGCGATAGCTTTGATGCACGAGCGCCACTGGTTGCGCGATTGGACAATTTCTGCCGGTGTCAACAACCATTGTGAGTTGATGCTGAAAGTCCCCATCCAGGGAGGTGGCAGTTGGCGACCCGACTAAGTTTACTGGTTAGTGTTTGCATACTTCGCTGCCAGGTCATACCATATCCTCCCCTCTGTTGCTTTCACTCAGTACAGGGCTGGGCGAAAAGAGCTCTGCGAGGCAGACGGTCTATTGGCATGCAGAGTACGTGTCCGAACCGGCATAACTTATGAAGCGTGTAAAATTCATCTATCGTAAGAGAGTTCTTTTTTTCTAAGACCTTCTGACGTACCTCATCATTGCTCATACGATGTCCTCACCATACCTGATCAACGCTCCGGAGACACTGATGACCAAACAGTGACATATTCCGCATGTCCGTTACGCGTAGAGACCACTTCTCTGGTCCATAAAGCGGTGTGGATTGTGTTAGTGCTCTAATTGTGACGTAATTACGTTGATTATCAGAAGGTAACAAGCACTAGAATGTGATAAATACAAGAGTTAGGTGCACTTGATAAAAATAAGTACGAGGCAAGAAGGGAATAAACCAAAAAGTGACTTATCGTTTGAGGACAATTGTTGAGAGTTCCTGAGTGAAGTTCCGGACGTGGGACGTGTCTTCTCTGCACTATAGCTGCTCCATGTGTTCTATAGTTGTCCGTGGAGTCTTGCGGAGGTCTGTTGACTTCCTGTCTTTTGCGCGCGAGCATGTGTTGAGCCTAGTTTTATGCCTATTTATGGTGTGTATTGTGAAGAGAGGGGTGTCCCTTGGTGTTTGATGCTTGCACGAACATGAGTACAACCTGACCTGATGGCGCGTTACGCAAGTGGTAGCCGCGTAAACAAAAATGGATGAGAATTTGTAGTGTACAAGTTGTCGGCTAAGGTTGCAAGTGGGACAGGGATTGTCACGTGGTTTGAACGTCTGTGGCGCGTGATCTGATGAGTGACCAATACAAGCGCACTACCGCAGTGTAAACTCTTTCCTTCCCAGACAAACTGATGTCACGTCGGTGCCATAGGTGTCGGAGGTTGTCAAAAGCTGCTCTGGCCTTCCCGATTCGAGAAGAAATCTCATCTTCAGCCAGTCCACCTGAACTTATACAGCTGCCCAGGTAAACAAATTTGCCTATTACGTCGATTGGTTCTCCTGCAAGCATGAGGTGCCTGGTAGCAGCACTTTGCAGGTGTGGAGCGCGTTTCAAACCATGCGGCAGATCATGATCACGTCACGGCGACTCTGCCACTTTCAGAATCGTGTTGACCTTGCCGTTTGTTGGGCATCGTCCTAATCGTAGTGAGGTGTAAACTAGCTTCGGTGTATCAATTTTGAAGTTGATTTATGCGTAGTAAAAATTTCACGAACTCACACTGCGTGAAACTATATGAATGCCACTGGGATTTAGAAATATGTGTCCACGCATTGTTTGGATACTTTGAATTAATTTCTACTTGTGAATGTCGGTTTTGCTGCTCTGTTGCATTTGATAATATGTACAAGGATGAATGAGGGTTGTTTTTGACCAGACAAGAACCGAGTGAGACCCCGGTTTCATTACCTCTCCCTTTTTGTCTAGATCAGATCTGTCAACGTTCTGATGGCTGCGTCGATAACATTCTCCGTATTTTTACTTCCAGCATCTTTCAAACCCTTATCCCTATCCCATCATCACCAACGAATTGGACGAGGAAACAGCAGCTCCTTTTGATCGTCTGACGGGTCAGCAGTATCCAATCGCCTCCTGTGCCAAGAGTCCGTGCCACGCCTGGTACGCACACCGGTACCCTTCGAACTCAGCGTCGACAAAGTTGGACGAATTTTCTAGCCTAAGTTTCTCGGTTTTCAACTCGAACACATTATTTCCAAAACCGATTGACTCTAAGTCTGTTGCAGAAGAATGGTATCGAAGTTGTCTGGACAGTCTTGTTTCGACCGCATCGACAGAGAAGCTGGCTGGTAAGATAATCTTTTTGCATCCACTTTCAAAAGTTTCTATCTCCAGACGTACCACTGAACCACCTTTGTGTTCACTCGTTTATTTTCTTAAGGATCAGTTCGTGTCCGGCATAGGATTCCTCTTCTCAGAACCACATCACTTTCTTTAATGTGGTCAAATGTAGCAACACAGAGGTCACTCACAGACTGATGTACTTTGTCTGTCACGTGGCCTGTTGTGGATCATTCAGCCGAGTAGGAAAGAAGGCAGAAACCCTTCTTGGGTAACCTACAGAATGTAACATGGGAGTGATGTAGCGAGCGTTGAAAGATTTCTTTAGTTACGAACTTGGTTGTAAGTTTTTTGGCGCGGGTAACATCCTCAGTCAGAGTGAATACAAGGCTGGTAGGATTAAGGTAGGCCTATTCTGTTCAGTTCCGTTTTCTGTAAGCACCCGAAGCAGTCGATATGGCTAAACGCGAACGATAGTCCCGCGGACTTGTACTTTCCGTCCATATGTGCAAAGGCATTTAGCGTAGAGTCCCACTTTCGGAAGGAGAATGGGACTAAATATTCGTCAAACGGGGTGGTTTGCTTAGGTGTATTCTTTCGAACATTTTGAAACTATCCCTTTCCATCCTTCAGTTCTCCACAACCGTCCCAGACACCGGCTGAACACACTGGTCAACTGTGTGGCAAGGAGTCAGCTCATTTCGGATTTTGTTGATGTTACTTCAGGACTGCAAGCTTCACTAGACTTAGCTGTTTAGCTAACCTATGAACTGTCTCACCTAACACATTGGCCATATGATCGCACTTCTGATGGGCGCCAGACGATTGAGCGTGTTAGAGTCAGCGGCATGTGACTAAATTTCTCGAACCGTGGCCCAGAGATGCTCCCACGTTTTCAAGGAGTTTCTGCTGTCTAGCAGCGTTTTCAAGTTCTCGATCTCCAGTTTAGTTTTCCCCTCAAATTCTCGATCCCTAGGTGACTATCCATGTCTTGTCTCTGCTTTTCTTGCCGGCTTACTTGTGTTATTAGCAGAGTGAAGGAAGAGTCCGAAAAGGACATGAATAACGACAATCACTCAAAAGCTAGGATTTTTCATTTCCAAGCAGGTACTGAAAAGTTATTCATGATAAATCGGGAGAAGTGGGAGAATAAACACTGCGATTGCTTCACTCAAGTGGCGATAATGTTGACCCTGAATTACACCTCGCATTGAAGCTCTGAATATCCCTCCCCAAGGAAGAATAGTTATCATCAAGATGTCCGTATTAGGTCCTCAAGGTCACCACCCGACAGATAGGGAATAAATGGATCGATTGGGAGATCCCAGGAGCCTCCGGTACTCTGTATTGAACTCCTGAAAAACTGTTTCCTAAAACTGCATTACTATTGACAGCAGTACTATAGCACCGTTTCCTGGATGAAACTTCGCCCCCATGACTCTGTCCCGTAGTTCAGTCAACCATTGATTTTTTAGGCTTCATGTATGAAGCCAATGCACTGTTTTGTCATGTGATACCGTGTCAAAGCCGGATTTATGACCGATTAGTTACGCGTTCCATCCTATTTTTCACTGAACTTTTTAGACGAAACAGTTCGTCATTATATGGTAAGAATTTAAACGCATCATGGCTGATTCTTTTGTCTTTGATTACAAATCCGCAATCCAGTGGTGAACCTTTTCGGTAAAACGAAGACTAAACTGTACGTGTATTCCTTACAGACAGTGATTTTGGAGACTTTCTTGAAAACCTGTCAAAGTGTTACAAGCTGCTGCGTGATGAAAAGACGTGCAACTTGCAGTCGCTTCCAGAATGTGAGTCTCCGTTTTATTCACATGCCGCTGGCGTCACTCTCGAATCCCCCTAGTCTGATACCCAGTTTTTTGGCTGAAAGATGCTCAAAATTGTCAGTGGGGTGTCCCGCAAGTGAAACTAATCTAGGGTGGAAATCCGAGATGTCTCATCCATTTTGGGGGTCATCGGGAGTGGGCATCTCTCGGCTACTAGGATGAACAAAACAGTTTGACCACGAATACCTGATCACCAGTGTGAGTAGCTCGTATTCATACGGGGTATATCACCACTGATTCTTCAAGCGCATATTCCACATCCCATGGTCCTGTACTGACTGGCTCCTGGAGCGATGACTTTTCGAATGAAGGTTTTGTTCGTCATGCCAGTTATTCTTCGAGAAACACACTCATTTGCAAATCAGTTTGGTTTTCATGAGAAACTCAACTGAATCTCTCATTTGTGACATTCTACAAGTGAATGTGCTTCACACAGGCCACCTCATGATTCAGTTGGCACGATATTTGAGATATCGCAGTATATTTCCATAAAGCAAATTACTCACGAGGTTGATGAAAACTATTCGACAGCCCACGACCGGTTTCGCCCTTCTTGGGGCTCATCAGGTAGGCACAGTCCCCGAGTTTTTGTCAACCTTATGTTCTACTTGAACACAAATTGGACTGTTTTCGAGAAATACACTCATTTGCAAATCAGTTTGGTTTCCATGAGAGACTCAGCTGAATCTCTCGTTTATGATATTCTACACCTAAATGTGCTGCACACAGGCTGCCTCATTTTCAGCTAGCACTCTTCATCGAAGAGCTTTCAGCAACCATGTGAGTAGTTTCCCTTATCAGTTATTCTTCCTTATCACCTACTATCAGTTCGTTAGTGTTGTGTACCGAATTCCAATATGTGTATTCGGTATTTTTGATAACTTATGTGGCGAACATACTACTTGTTTGTGAATCAATCACTCTGTTCACCTTACAACATTTTCGTACAGTAAAGGTAAGAGCTGCACCTCATCGACACGAGCATGGCGTGAAATAGCAAAGTTATGACATTTTGATACCCCATTCCTGTTTCCATTTTTATCCTTATCTGATTAGTTCACAAAAGCTTGCTTCTGTTAACTTGCAGTCGGTGATTTCTTCTGCAGGTTTGACTCCGGAAACTCTGAATTCTGTCGAACTCATCGAACAAGATGTGCTTGGAATAAAACTAACTGTACGGTACGTCAACATCTGGTACTGCCATGAACTATTCTACCCAAAAGATAAACCGAGGTTATTTTAAACAGTTTGAAGATATGCTTGTTAAGGAGAAGCGCCTGACTTCACGTTCTTGAGTGTCCTTTCGGGTTGCTCTCTTTTTTACTGATTTATCTATTTTGCGATTTATTTAGCGCAGTCCTTGTTTGAGGAACTTTGTGTTCCCACTCTTCTGACTAACCTATCATTTCTTCAAACAGCTATGGACAGCGACTTGGCATGCTAAAGCATGGGAAGCCTTGGGACGTTGAAAACAGCCCACATGTCACTACCCTATCCAACCTACTCAAACAAGTGCAATGGGGTCTCCAGCAAGGTATTTCAAAGGCAAATGTTAATAGGGATGTTGTTGGACCAAGCTCAAAGTCTGCTGACCCAAAAAGAGGTAAGCAACAGGTGCTTTATGACTCAAGACGTGATCAAGCGTAAATGGGGTCCTTGCTTCACAACGGTTCCTTTCACTTTCAGGTCACAAGGCATTGTGTTGCCGCTTTGGATTTGACTGGTTCACTGCGACAATATTTATCGGTTTCCGAGGCGATTCTGGTCGATGCTGGGAATTCCTGTCGCAGTTCGCCTCTGATCCACGTTCCGTATACCTCTGGCCCGTACGAGGCCAATACCTTGTGAGCTCACATTTTTACGCGGGACAGTGCGTAGTCTCTGTGGGTGCAGAATTACTCCACGAATATTTTGATTGTGTATTTGAACAACTTATGCTTTCAGCCAAACAACAATTTTGTGATCCTTTTGCATTCCCATAAATCAGGTGTGATGAATGGGGCCACCAACCAGGGGTTAAAGTATGTGGCACAGAATTTTTTCGCGATTTAATCGAGTCGTGGTTTCCACGGTACTCTCTAACAGGCGTTTAATCACCTTCTCTAGTCGAAACTGACACTTTTTGCTTGAATTTTATAGCGGGTGAAGCCCCGTGAAGAGTAGGTAGCTCTGTTTTCTCAATGAAATTTCGTTTCACTTCAGATGACGGAAAGCAGCGACCTTTGTGTCGACCTCTTCCGGTTGCGTAGCTGTCAATTCCTGGAACACTTGTTGGCTTTGGAATGCCCCAATATATACAACGCCTTCCTAATGGTTGAACTGCCGCCATCGCAGGTAATCTTCTATATACCACTCAGGCTTCGTCATTAATTTTCCATCCCTTGCATTCCGATCGCCAAACCACAGTCCACACCCGCACCCCAAAACTTAATGTAAATTTTCTGATAAAACCTGTCCAGAAAGAGGGAACAAACTGGCCTACGGCAACGTTTTGTTTTAGGCACCGAATTTGCCTGGAAATGAAGTGTAGCTTTCAAAACTCATCAGTTTCCAAAATTGAATCGAAAAGATTTTTCATTCGTTTGTGGCATGAAATTATATTTTTCTCAACTACTGTTATGGGCTCTTTGAAGCCTATTCACGGATAAAACCNGCCTACGGGCAACGTTTGTTTTAGGCACCGAATTTGCCTGGAAATGAAGTGTAGCTTTCAAAACTCATCAGTTTCCAAAATTGAATCGAAAAGATTTTTCATTCTTTTGTGGCATGAAATTATATTTTTCTCAACTACTGTTATAGGCTCTTTGAAGCCTATTCACGGATCAAACCACAAAGGGCACCCGAAACAAACATTCCTCAACTGATGTATGATGCCCAATAGGAATCTAATTCTGCCACGCTTCCCTAGGTCTTATTTGCCGCAACAGTTCTGCATATGTCTATCCTGTCAACATTTTTCCGTAATCTGAGAACACAGAGGTAGCAAACAATGCTTCCGGATGTAGATCAATGACTACTCAATTGGTCCTCAACGCCAAAGGAACTCTTTATAAACATATCATTTTAAGGATCCCGAAGATCACGCCGACAAGTAGGGTCCCATCCCCTGTTCTTGACCTATACTCGTTCGGTCCAATAAGTGATAAATATCTGATCGGAAGGAATCTTCCAGGAGTGTGAGGATGATCTGTCTAAATCAGCCTCATGGTAGCCTACTTATTCATCATTGATTTCAAGTTTAGCCAAGTCCCATATTCAAATAACACTTTGTGACAATGTGACTTCGTTTCAGATGTTGCCACGTCACATTAACTTTGGAGGATAAGCCACTTAGTACCTACTCAAAGTTTGAGGCAGTTTGAACACTATCAATAAATAGTAAGGATTGGGGTATGCGATGACAATCAACTGTCATCTGGCACAGCAATTAAACTAAATCACATTCATTGAAATGCACTCATTTGCAAACAAATTTGGTTTCGCGAGAGACTCACCTGGAACCCAGCTGAATCCCTCGTTTGTAATGTTTCCGGCGAATTTTCAGCAACCTCATGAGTAGTGCACCACAAATATGTACATGTATCGCGATATCTCGAATATCGCAGCGACTGAAGCATGAGGCAGCCTGGTGCAGCACATTCATTTGCCTGGAAACATCACAATCAATAGATTCAGCTGGGTTCCAGGTGAGTCTCAAGCAAAACCAAATTTGTTTGTAAATGAGTGTATTTCGCTAAGTTCGTGCAATTTGGTTTCAACATAAAGTTGATGAAAACTCGGAGACTGTGCATACCTGATGAGCTCTAAGAAGGGTGAAACCGGTCGTGGGCTGTCGACGAATTTTCAGCAACCTTGCGTGTAGCGTGAACCGCATTCACTTTGAACTTGTCTCACTCAAAAGTGACTATCTATGTCGAGTATAAAAGCCAGCAGTTTAATGGTGCGCCTCTTAGCCATAGAATCAGTATCTAGATACTCTGGGGGAATCATTTATTTCCAGATTAGTGACGTCTTAGACTGGTGTCACTTGTTCACAACCAACAAACAGCACCCTAGCTGCAGGTTGCGTCTGTGGTTGAAGCTAAGCGCTGGAATATTTTGGTAGATTTAGCCTAAGTAGTACCTTATAGGTGATAACCCGTGTAAATGGTACTCGCCGTCTGATGGCTTCCTATACCGGAAGTTTTCAGATTTTGGCAAATTGTGAAAGAACAGTATCTTTGAAACCAAAATAAAATATGTTCCTGTTGTTGCGTCCAAAACAAAATTTCACGGTTATTGTTGCACCAGACTCTTCGCAAGCTAACTCGACACTTCGCTCTTCCCCCAGATTTTTTCCCGCTGGAACAACCTATGCTTTTGGAATTACCTCAATTGGAATCAAATTGTGGATCGCTTGGTCATTTGTCTTCTAAATCCACTGTCTTATCATATCTACTTCGGGGTGGCCGTTTTTCGTCACCTGAGCAAAGCGATTTCTCAGGCCATGGTGGAACGTCCTACGGAGCAGCAGCATCAACCGGAACAGCTAATTATTTTCCTCCAGGTATGCACAGAATGCTAATATCATCCTGATGGTGTAACTGTATATAGTGCGTGGTTTCCACAGCACTGGTGCAACGGGCTTGTGGACAATCGTCCGTGGCGCGAGTTCACAAACCTCAAGGTCATTCACCCGTTTGCGAGTTTTGTTCTGGACATCACAAGTCAAGCGTAGTTATTGCCATTTCAGATGCATCTGTTTTACCCGCTGACGTTAATAAACGGTTCGGATTGTAAACTAGATAGTATATGTTGCTCTTGCGATCATATTGGTTCTTAGGAGTGCGAAATGAAACACCTGATGCTTACAGCGTTATGATGAGTACTTTGGTATCCGGCTTGTTTACACAGCAGAGTTGCAAATGGGCGTGTTAGTTCTTACTCCTGTGCCATAGCCGTCAAGTGCTGCTTCACGTGTACACACGCACGCAGACCTGCCTAACCTGTCAGACATGCAGGCAAACTATGGTCTTGGTATAATGTTTGGTTTTTATTGGCTACTCATTGCCGACTCGGCCTTAGGCTGTTAATTTCTTCACGTTACTAAATACATGGTAGAGTGCAGGTGCGGGTAATTCAAACGATGCGGGTAAGGTGAACTGCCTCCGCATCCAGAGATCTACAAACGGTGTAAAAACTATTCACAGATAGACAAGAGAGGGTTGCCTATCATTTTAGCGGAACATTTCTAGCAGCACATGTGGGGAGGGATGCTTGAAATCTGCTCAGTCCATAAGCTGTTATTGCTCTAACCAGGAGCCTGTATCCAAAGCGAATTTAGCAATAAGCGTGGCCCTTGGGTGCCCATATCTACATATGTTGTGGCTCGCTCGAGCAACACAGCGGCATGCGCCCTAGACTACAATACAGAAAAAAGCTAAACCGTATGAGTTGGATAACGTTACACAATATGCTCGCCCGATACCAATTCGAAGAGATGACAAACGGAGGCATGAAAAATCGGCTTTTACTACATGGGTGGCACTCTCTGATTCCAGAACACCTTAGAGTTTCTTCTACTCGATTAGATAGTCAGGAGATACCAATCAGTAACACCAGCGAAGCTGCGAAACCAGTCACTTGCAGGACTGCATTACGTGCACCCCTGCCTAATGGGAATGAGAATACCGATCAAAATGAATTGCCAGTTGGTTTATATAGACATCGGTGCCGAAAACCTAACCAATTCTTCTGAGGTTAGTTAAAGGTATCACAAGCCCTGACTTTTCTATTCATGTTGGTGGTCAGACAAACACTAGAAATGTATGTAGAAATGTATGTAAAACTTTGATTCGGTGCACGAAATGGTGTGTATGCTGCCGATTGACGCACACTATAAATAGGCTGAGGTATATCTAACTGCCAGAGCAAACGCAGAGGCACCGGTCAACGAAACTTGTACGGTTTTGGATCCCGTAAACCGTGTGTACAGGAAAGGTCACTGAAACTGTTAGTAAGGTGATACTGGGCTTCTCTGCTCAAAGCCTCGTGGTCAAGCTTCCAACAATCACGAGGAGCGCGCAATGTGGATGGCTACGCAAGGTCTTCTGAAATGACGGCCAGCACTGAGACCATCTGACATTAGATCGGTCTCTGTCTGCTTGCTGTTCGACACTTAGTAAGTCGGTTAAGGTCCCACCCTCAAATTCACTGTTTGATCTGGCATTGAACATGGGAATGCAGCCTCGCTCCCATAGTTGAGAAGTAAAATAGAAACCAATCAACAGAAAATAACCGAAAGAGCGAATCCGCGCACATAAATCAAACTAACAGAAGCAAACACTGTGCACACCAAACTCTTCCGCCCCCCACTTTGGCAACGTGCAATTTTGATGTTGTCTTCAGGCAGCGGAAACTACCATGGACTAGATCGTGGATAAAATTTCAGAGCGCCCGCGTCTACGCTTATACATGTTTAGTGGAACTGATTGTCCACAAACTCATGGTGAGATAACCGATGCGTGCATGTCAGCCAGTCTCAGATGCCGGGTCCAGAAACCACTCAGCACTACGCGCACGCTTTAAATCCAGTGCATCAATACTAGCCATTACATTGTGGCTCTCTGATGGGCACTGAATGTTGTCCCCTGCCTTACACATACGCACTCGTGCAAGAACCCATGTCCTTTAATCCTTACCTTTCTGTCATTTTGCTTCTAAACCTATCGAAGTTAAAACACAGTCCCACTTCCTGCTAGGAGTGTGACCGGTGAGACTACATACGTTTCGTTACCCACACTAATTGAGTTTGTTTGACCTTTTTTTATTTTTTGTTAGAGTTTTCAGTCACAGTGTCGTATGTTTGAGGAGTGCGCTGTCGTCAACCTTCATCGGCAAAAATCTCGGTCATTAATCCATCGTCTGAGCTTATTTCGGCTTTGGGGATAAAATATATCAGCATTAAAACAAGTGGAAAATAAGTGGAATGTAAATGCACATAATGATAGCCTAGATATTGGTCATAAAGCTGAGAAGCGTCATGATGGAACGGTAGTCTGACCTGAAGATCTGTTGCTTGCAGTAATTTAGGTCCCCAAACTCTACTTGCCCATTTCTTCATTTTGCAGGAAGAATCCATCCGAGGATTCGACATACAACGTCACATTGCTTATATGGACGATATGCACAGCAGATACGGTAAACAGCTGGATCATCTCTTGATTTCTTCGTTTCCGTCGTGATCCCTATTACTTTTGCTTTTATGAAAATCGTTTCAGGTGAAACAGTTTTGTACATTTCTATTTGTCCTTTAAAACAAGTTTTTGCGCTGAGTCGTGAGTGTTTTCACAGTTTTGTTCCCAACTTCTGAGTTTGGGGTCTGTTTGTCATTTCCGCCACCTGGTCGAACGATAGCCTTCAACCTAGCTGCCTTCTTCCATCTTGCGCAATACGTATATGTGTAGTCTCAATAATGAAAAACTCCAAATGGATACTAGCTTAACGCAACCGCGGTTTAGTCACTTGGTCCACTTTCATAATATTAGGCAAGAGGGCGTTGGTATAAATTTTCCGCCACACAAGTGGCCTGGCCTTTAGCTGACATGTTGCTGGTTTATCTGGTCATTAGTTTCTGTGGCCTTTGTCCATCGCGCTTTTCAATTCGGTCGTTGGCACAGTTTTCCTCTGAAAATTTCCTTGGCACCTCCTGGGATACTCATCTCATAAATACCCAACAGTGACCAATCCGGCGTGCATTCTAGGCCTTTAATCTGCTAACCTGCCGGACAACACCCCACCAGCTACAAAAAAATGGAAACGTATTTCGTGATTTTGGTCTCAAATAGACCGAAAGACCGAGATTCGGATTCCCCTAATGAGTAGTTGGGCGACTGTAGCCAAAGGCCTTCCGACTTGTTCACGCAAGTTCCTTCGTAGTGTGGTAAATCTACAAGCCTATTTTTCACCGCTGAAAACGCATGAGGATGCTCGCAGATGTAAAACGCAAAGAATAAACTCATGAAGCCCTTTTTTAAATCTTTGCGACTACAGGTTTTATTAGTATCAGTCTTAAGTAGGGTGGGATGCACAACAGCCTGTCACGAACATGTAACCCTTGGTGACATCCGGTGAAACAGACCCGTGGACATTTGTTCGTCCTGAGCCCCCAAATCTAGAAGACCCTATCTCAAAACAGAATGCTTGAAGATACTCTTTCCGTCGTTGCAGCAAAGCGGACGACCTCCCTAAGCTGATTTGTAAGCAATGATGCCACTCAGATTTTTTCAAACATCTTTCAGGTTGCCAGGTTTTGGTGTGATAGTGGGGCAGTAAAACCCACACTGGTCTTGACGAATCAGACAACCCTTGGCCTGTCGACGCATCACATTTGTGGCCTTCAAAATTTGATTATGCCAACACCTGAAAATCATTTCCCTTCCGCCTGCATCTACGCTATTTTGCTTTTATATAATGGAACCATGCTATAAAAATGAAGGTACAACGAGAAGACCAAAAAATAACGGATATTTTAAAAAACGGACACGTTCAGTCAAAATACTGGCATTCTGAGAATTCTCTATGGCCTGGTCGCCACGGGTTTCGGACGTGTAACATACCATTGCCTTCAGTTTGTTGAGTGCTTCGAAAGAATTTGGCATGGACTAGCGAGGAGTTCCTGCTTACGAGCTGTGAGAGTTTCTGTCAACGGTGGACATGTGGATAACGGATCAAACTTGGTTGCCTGCAGGATCCAGCAAGCCAGGTACACATCCACTAGATTTCAACTGCTTACTTCCAAAATTTTTCCATGTATATAGTATATAGCTCATATAACTGCGTTATCGGTATTCCAGAAAAAATATTTTGAAAACCCACCACTTCAGAAACTAGATAGGGCTCAACCGCGAGGGCCGGTAGTCACGTTGAAGAAAAGGATCACTGGAATTCGAGCTTAACCATGAACTTTACTGGCAAGTGAAGGACCACTATATACCCGACTCATGCCATGTATCACAGGCTGAGATTTCGTTCAACAACACTTCCATTTTCCGGGCTGACCTAAAATGATGAACGGCAAATGGAGTTGTGTTTCGCTCCAAAACAACTCAGCTCGCTCCATTTTTTCTCTGGTGGCCCTCCTGTGTCACATTGGAGGCTCACATTTCACTGTACGAGATCAATTTTCATCTCCTCAACGTTGTTTCTCTTGTCCTGCGGCAGCTCACTTGTTCCATATACAACCCGTTATGCAGCACCCCCGCTGCTAAAGCCAAAAGCTTATTTTGTTCGGGAAAAGTAGCGTTTCTGTGGTTTCCGGGTGAAATCTCAGGAAGTCAGCACTGGCGCTAACTTAGGTTTAGCGAAACAGCGCTTTAACTCGGCACGTTAACGCAATCACCAGAGCTTTTTCATGCGACCCAACATCCTTGCTATCCATGGTTCTAATCGATTAAGGATATATGATAACTAAAGTATTTGAAAGACATTGACCATTGTGTATCAAGCATTGAGGTAATTAATTACTAACCCGAGAACCCTGAACTTCAAGTGTGTACTTGAGGCCACACCGCGCAGATTTTGCATGGATGCACATCTTCCTTGGCCAGCATCACTAGAGACGACCTACAAGGTTATTGTTGAAAAAATAACGCAGACTATGCAGTGCTCCTTTGAGGAGAGCCGACGGACAGCCGGAAGAGCCAAAAGCAATGATTCAGCACCTTTGGACCATGTGTAATTCGTGAGAAAATGGGTACAAAAGAGTCCTATGTCAAGCCAGGTTATCCTAAGATACGGAATCACAGTAAACCCGGGATTCGTCGGCTAAACTCAACAAAGCAAGCAACGATACTCATCCCCCATGCGAAAAAAGGTGCGCTGTTATAGTACATGAGACACTCAAAGTAGCGAGCCTATGACTATCACCTTCGAAGGGCAGAGACAAAGAACTCGCAAGTGGTATAGCAGTTGTAGCCAAGGCCCGCAAGGATAAATTTACTTGCCTGTATTTAACTTCAGGGCCTTCACAGTATTACGCAACTGCAGGAGCTCACGGCCCTCGAGAAAGTGAAAATTCAACACTAGATAAGGATACTGCCAATAAACAGAACGCTCCGAGTGAAACTGAAGTTGCTCTACCCTCTTCCACACCGGTCTAAAGTATTTTTCTCAAATCAAAGTTTGTCTTCCCTTTTGAACTACGTCAGCAAACCTCCAGATGCAAATTCGTGCCTGCTTCAACTTTCTGAATGCCAGAATTTCTGAACCTAGCACTTTTCGAATGTATGGTGAGGCCTCACAGCAGCGGCCACACGATTGATAATCCCCCTAAATAATGGAACACTTGTCCACATTTTGCTCTGAGGAGCCTCGGCTAAACCTTGCACATTGTATTTCCAGGACGGCCGGCTAGTTAGTACGAAGTTGAATGCCAAAGTTCGATTAGTTATCTGACTCTACAAACGTCCTTACATTTCCTCGCATAGAAATAATCGAGGGAAATTCCTAATTCACCGGATTACCCGAAGCACTTTTCTCTTATTCACAAAATAAACTTCTGGTTACTCTGTAAGGGTTGCGCCAGACCGCTCCTTGAACAGATTAACTAAACGGCCTGCTTGGTATACGAGGAGCGCCTAATTCACATTGGGCGCGTCCAACCCATCCAAGGGTACCAGCTGGCCTTAAATGATGAGGCGCGTCTTGAATTCATTGTCCTCAAAGCAACACTACACCCAATATTTGACTCCATCATGAAGGTTAACCGGGCTACCAAATAACAAAAAAGAACTCAATCAGGAAAGCCCGGTCAAAATCCAAAACGGAGAGCATCAATCTACGATTTCATGAATGACCACTCGAAAGTATAACCACACGTATTATGTGCTCCCTTCCGCTTTCCCAAGTGCCCAAATTCCAACCTTCAGAATCCCACTTTACCGGCTATCATTGATCTTATAGTATTACCTATCGGACACCTCGTTAAATTTCCACACTTCAAGCCTGAAGTGTTCTCAAACTCCGGAAAGCCTACCATCTAAATGTCTCAGAACCATCCACATTAACTGAGCTAGCATCTCAAAAAAGTGTGCCCAAACGTGTATCCCACTTTTATTGCATTCTCTTATTCTGGTGGAAACTTGGCTTAACCGATAAATTGACAACGTCGTGTGGCATCACGCACAATATATGATCCATCCTTCTGACATTATTTCCGGTCCGGTCGCCTACCGGTGCCGGTCATCTACTATTCTCTGCACTCATCGTGGTTTGGTCTGTCTAGGTCTCATTATTTTCGCCTACACTTACAGGCCCAGTTTGTCTCCGAGGGCAGCCTCGTATGTAGGTTTGCTCAATCTGCTTTATATTATCGTTTCCGGATGAGGAAAATCTTTTACCGACCTAATTTAATGTCATCTCTTAATAATATAGTATGCAACAGTAAACTAAGACTGGGCTTCAGACCCGAACTTTCTCTAACCCTCACCCTTTAAACTCTCACCGTATCACCAGAATGACAGTCATCCATCCGTTTCATAGCATTACTGCCTTACAGTTCACAGCAAACCTGATCCTCACTGTCACACACTAACTCACGAGGCACGGTGAGATAAGATTCTACGCCCACTGAGGGAGAGTGACCACCCCATACTCTCCCAGGTCCCCTATACTGCTGTAACATACTTTCAACACCGCCGGTGCACACTACTACATGTAGGCGTGGGTAACAGCTCAGGATCAATAAACCAGTCGGCATCAAAACAATACTCCTCATACACGCTTGAGAAAAAATATCGCTCCGTATCTCTTAAGCATTCGGGCACTTGTTCATAACCTAAACTATATTTCAAAATGATAGGAAGTAGCTTCTTTTATGCCCCTGAATACTACGGATTAGTAATAAGGCCACTACATGCCGGGATGTATAAACAGCGCCGACGATTACTCCACCCTCATCGAGGGAGAGTCCCTATAATGGAATGTTACAGAAGACGGAATGTTGTTCAGCTGCTAGCATTCTCAAGTGCATATGGAGTCATCAAAGGAACCCAAAACTTGACCGTTGTCCACACGGAAATCGGACAGCCGCCCTACCCTCAAACAACAAGATCCACTTTGGGGCATTTGACAGCGCCCATGCATCCGTGCAAAGTCCCAATATCAACACCAAAAACATGCTAACGCCTGTATCTCTGGCACCTGATGGCCTAGATTCACCCTCACCCCATCAGCCCGACAACCAAACCTTGCTCAGTCTGTGTTCCGAATTGCTTCCCTGGTCTAAACACAAAAACAAATGTCCTAATGGGATGAGTAAGCTTGTTTGGTTTCCAGTGGTACCTTCTTATCCGTTCTGTTGAGCATACTTTACGAACACAATCTCCACAAAATGATTCAGAAGGTTACTGATGTTTTAGAAGCCAAGGTTATTCGGAGGTCCATAGGCAAAAACTTTTTCGCTTAATGCCACTCCCTAGTTTTAACGATTTGTTTGACAGGGTAATTATCCTGCGCCAACAAGCACCTTGAATCATCACAGGTTATGCTGTTACCAATGAATGTCATGGGCTGTTAACTATAGAGCAAGTCGGTAGAACATCAGTAGATCAGGAAGAAGCTCCAGGCTAATAGTTTAAACTTGCTCAGTTGTAGAAACAGGTGTTTTTTGGGCTATACAGTGAGCAAATATACACGGACAACATTGAGCTAAAAGATAGTAATCCCAACCACCTTGCTGCGTGCAATTTGGTTTGTTCATGCTAGACAGCCGAAAGAACCTGGACTTAGATTGACCCATCCATTTCAACCAATATAAGTTACTGACCCAGGATGAACAAGTGGACAAGCTTGTTATAATCATTGGCGATCACATATATTCCTGCAGGAAGGTTTACCGTCTGCTGCTCGTGCAGAAACCTCCGGGGTGTGGAGGCACCAAAATTGACAGAAGTGGTCCGTCAGTTTCTCATAATACTTTCAGCAAGTTGCTGTGGCTGGCAACGAGATGATGCAAGTGATGATATGACGAAATGAACATCATGAAAGAAACGTTTGAACAGGGCCCATGGAAGTCATTTACAAGCAAAGGTCTATAATTTTCACACGTTGACGTTGCGGACCATCGATCATTAGTTTCCAAGACACAAAAATTGCCGAACCAAATCATGTCAATTCCGCGGTGCTTCAACACCAATGATCATGTTCGCTTAACAGCAAAATATGTTATTCAATTATTCTTAAAAACCGCCACACCCAAGAATTTGGGAATCGCTTGCTTTTTTTACACATCCAGCATGATGAATTGCGAGCTCGCGGCCCAGCGTTTGCATCTACCAGCTCCTAGCTCACTGTAAACGCCAAAGCTGTTTCTACTTCACAACCACAAAGAATGCCGGCTGCTCATATTCTATCAATAATTCATCCAGAACGCACTAAGTTACCTGATGCCGTTGGGTCACCATCTCTATGAACAAGCTAAAGCACTTACCCACAGGAGCGCAGTGCCTTCCCTTTACTAAAAGATCCATGGCAAGACACCTCGTTCCCATGCAGACGGTAAGCAGGAAAAGCAGACTATATTTATGCATGAATGAGAGATTTTGAACGGGCTGATTTAGATTGATTAGTTGCGTTTTAATGCAAATTTACGATCTGTGGAAAACGTAAGGATTAGGTGGGCTTTCTCTTATTAATGTGGATTCCGAACTAGTGCGTAGCATACCTACGGGCATGATCATAATGTTAGAGTCAGAATGCGAGCATGACGGGCGAGGTTTGTGGGTAGTTGGAATTTCCTGTAGAATGGATGGCAACATAAATAGTGGGCATCGTCTGAAGTAAAGTTGGTCGCCCTTGACCTGAGAAATATGAACGTATATTGGAATTGATTGTATTTGAGCACATAGGCGACGAAATGCAACATTTCGGCGCCAGACTTTTCATTCCACCCGCAAAGGTTTTGCAGCCGGGAGCATTGTGCGGCTAATGGTTCACAATGAGAGGGCGCCCATTATCCGCACAACGCTCTCAGCTGCAAAACCTTTTACAAATCGAGTAAAACTTTCTAAGTCAAGATGTTGCATTTTCTTGTTGCATTTTGTATGTCTTCAAACCAAAAACCGTCTTAATCTGCCTTCATATTTTTGCAGCTCACCTAATTTCATCGTTCGCTGAAACAACCATGCTTTTGGCTAAAAAGTCCTGTGGGATAATTTCCCAAAACTGGTAAGACCCCGGGATACCTAAATGGGGCTTAAAAGTCCAAACTTGCTCTCCCAACTCACTTGCATAGTTGTTTAACTTCATCAGGAACATGTCATAACTTTCGAAAATTCGATTTGATTGTGCGAATACTGAGCGCCGATGGGGCAAGATACGATCGTTAAGACTCGAAATTGGCGGGAAAAGCAATACTACTGAAGGCATACCAGGGGTTTTCTCGTCTGTGTCGTGGTAAAATACTTCAACCTGCAGAACATGTGGAACCAGAATAATGGATCTGGAGAGCCAGCAGAACTGCCACGATCTGAATAAATAAACATCGACTAAAGATTTAACCTCCCTCTTGAACATAGCAGGTGTGACTTGTAAGAAACGGGTGCTTTGTCATGTCTGAGAGATAAAAGGCATTCACCCATTTTCGAAGCCATCGGAGATCTTTGATTCACCATCTACTGGAGTGCGCGAAAAAGGTGTACAATGTCATAAACTGTGTGCAGTATCCGATGAAATAATAATAATAGGTTAGTTTCCCTAGTTGTAGAGAACACGTCGATTGAGGCACGATCTGTCCTTTGGAACTTGAACGCGGCAGGCACCGGGGAGGAAGGTACAAAAAAGAGGCATGTTTGTTACTTCAAAAGTAGTCGTAATTGCGGGAACCGAAAAAAAACAGGACATTGGGCATGAGGTCCGACTAGTTCAGAGGTGAAGCCGGTTGACTTGAACAAAAGGTGAGAACCACTGCTGGCCATGAGCGGCCTTGGGCCGTTGGGTAAATGGCCAAAGTCAAAACAGGCTAAGATTGACATGGAGATAGAATGATTCGTAGTAGAAGCAAATGGCACGTTTTGCTTTGAAAATATGGTTTAACCTGAAACTAAGTAGAATCTCTAGTCCCACTGTTGTAGGGAAGTCAGCACAAATAATAGGTTCGATG